AGCAGGACATAGGCTCCCATCACTGCCAGGAGAGCATACTGCAGGGCAAACAGAGCAGAGACTGGTGACGTCTCACAACTCCATACACTTGACAAATAAAGTTCTTATAAATTACATGTTTTCAGCTCATTACAAACAGCAAGTTCTACTGGGTAACAGACAGGCTAAAGTAAGCAAGGAAACACAGCTCATAGCACATTAGGTACCAAACCACAGACACAAATGCACTAATACGCTCAGAGGCAAAGGTTCTTATTGCCTTTACTTTTTATAGTTTTAAATTCAAGTATTCAAAGTTTCAGTACACATACCTTAAATTTGGGATAGTCATTCATTATTATAGTTACCATTCCAACATAGGGCAGAAACCTGTGATTGACAAAACAGGAGAATGTAAAACTGAGCCTCAAGTATTGCATGGACATGTTTCAGTGTTACTCAGTCTGGAATGTTCCAGTGTGAACCCTTCATTTACACCTGGGAGTACAGCATGGCTGAATAGGAATAAAATGCATTAGTCTTCCTTAGATAAAAATTCAGTAAAGTTGTCTGAGAAAAATCTGAAGATATTTCAACTCAGCTGGGAAGGGACAAAGCCAAAAGCTCAAACCTTGCCTTGAGTTCCTGTGGAACACTGAAACAATTTCCCAGGAATTTCCAGCAACGACAAGTTTGCTAATTCTGTATTTATAGGTGAACTATTTGTTAAATGTGCTTTTCTTTCCCCCCCAAATTCATCTCGACTCTACATATCAGTGAGAACTACAGGAAGAAATTCTTTCAGGTAAGTTTTTTTTTTAACTACCATTTTACTTGAGAAATTAAAAAACACCAAACCAGATCTAGTTTGTATCAACAGCAAAACTGATTTAAGTGCTAAATTTTCTTTCTATTTAATTACATTTTGCATTACTTACCCTCTTGCTCTTCCAACAACATCTTTCTTCTCCAGCCAGTTCTGACCTTCTTTGTATAAGCCTCTATCATCAACTTCATTATTGTCACCTTTCGTCAGAAATTTGATGCTCCCATTTCCTCTAGAAGGCAATGAAGTGATAAACTAAACACCACTTAATTTAAAAACATCAATTAACTTCCACAAAGCACAATGAGGATGACAAGTGCTACAAGATTAGATAGCAATGTTTACTTTCAGTCCTACTGATTGAACAAGCACCATCAAATTATTAACATTACAGACTTTACCGACTGTATCTATCAGCAGACGTTAACAAGAAATGTTCTTTGAAACACTCCTAGACTGTCATTTGATGTAAGCAATGACACAATGGACATGAGAGGGATATTGTCCATCCAGGCACTGAACTGCCTCAACAGAACCCCTACGTGTCCATCTGCATTTTAACAGAACAGAAAATTAAACACAGTTATGATGTTTAGAGTCTTCAAGATGATTTTTCTCAAGCACTGATAGCAAGAAACAAGTTCTTATGAAGACGAATTAGGCAGTAGAGTAGGTAATTCTTGGATAGACATATTTGTTTCAAAGCAGCATGGAAGGACAGATATTACTCAAGAAAGAAACACCTTCTGTTCACGGCCAGGACCTCCTGAGCAGCAAATCTGTCGGTGCTTGCCACCTCCAGCTTAGCTGCTCACTGTGCAGATCTAGAAGCAGAACTGCCTCTCTTGTGCTTCAGAAGGAACTGTTTATTGTAGTAGGAATACACAGTAAAGGCAAAACCAATCTACCTGTTGCTTTCCAGCATGAACTGCCATTGGTAGTGTGACTAATGGGCACAAAAAGACTAAGAATCTGTTCTTTTGTTCTGAGTCAAAAGTGGAAAACTTCAGTTATCAAAGATCACATACTTGTCTGACTGCAGCTACAGTTCTGATTCTGAATCTTCACCTTCTTTCAGGGATTTGCTCTCAGAAGTGGCTGTTTCCCATAACCAAAATCCCACTTCTACCACAGTCAGCACACAAGTGGACTCTGCTCCCACACCATTGCTGCTGCTGCCAGCAATAAGTGTGGCTTGTGCCATAGAACTCCTTGGAGTTTACCTACTCCAAACTCCACTGAGAGACAAGTCAGGGTCTCAAAAAGTGCCACAGCACTGGGGGCAGAAGTGGATCACATCCTACAGATGATCTCACCCTCACAGCTTATCCTCATTTGCTCTTTTCATAACACACTACCAACATTAAGCTGCAACTGAAAGTCATGGTGAGGGAAGTAAACTTAGAAACAAGGAAAAGGCGAAGTTGCATTACTTTTCATGTACTTTGATGACTCTGTGAACTATTGGAATGTCTCTGCCTTCAACTTTAAAAACAACTATTTCACCAGCTCTGATTGGGTCATCATGAAAGTTTGTTAGGAAGAGCAGGTCTCCCCTGTGGAAAGCTGGTTCCATGCTGCCACTGCAGACAAGAGAGAGAGAGAACTCATGAGCACTGTATTACATGAGAGGAGAACCACAAAATCAAAGAACATTTAATTCTGACAGATAAACTGAGTTTTAGCTGAGATTTGTAGTTTCAGCCATTTAAGACAACCCAAATCTGAGCAAGCAGTCTTGAGTAGCGGATGAAATTATGAAACCCAGCGAGCACTCGTCCAGGATTATGACAGCAGCCTTGGCTCAGTGTCCAGCAACAGAGTCAGAAGAGAAAACGTGTCTGAGTACTTCTTTATGCAGACGAGTTTTTAAATTCCACATGTGCCCAGGGAGGAAGGAGAGGAGACAAAGGGCAGAACAATCCCTGGTCTTGCACCAGAGAAGCTTACAGTGACCCACCTGAGCACCACAACAATGGGGCTCTCACTGCCAGTGACCACAATCAGCCCCTTCCAGATCATGAGGGCAGAGGACACAATCATGGCGAAGTTCAGGACCTGGTAATACAGCTGGGTGGAAAAGAAGGATGGTTTGAGGAGTTGCTGTGTGTATTTAGAAGTACAACACACAATTCAGCCCACAAGCACCGCAGTTCCAGGCACTTCCATGCTAAAATCCCACTCCAACCCGAGCCTCAAAGCACAGACACTGCCCCGCCAGCATCCCGCACAGAGCCTGAGCCCGCCCTGTGCCCGGCAGCGCTGGGGGCCAGGGCACTCCCCGCGAGGCTGTGCAGCAGAGGGAGTGACGTGTAAAGGATCCAGTGCTTTGGCCACACCTCAGACGTGTGACATACCCGGCTGTCAGGAACGGGCTTTGCGTTCGGAGCACTTGTGTTTAAAAAGAGGAGCTGCGGGAGACGACAGAGCATCGCTTCTGGCTGTTGTCTGACCGAGACCTCTTATCTAGCAAACCGGTCACTGATCTCCCT